CCTTTTGTCTGTGCTGGTTTTCCTCTTTAAGTGTACAAACTTTTTTCAAGGGTGATTAGTTCTTTAGTTGTCCCAGCATTATCTTTATAGAAAACTTGGTGTTCCATGGAGAAGATTAGATCCCCCACTACCACTGGTGGGGGCTCTCAAGAGGAAGGCTGTTCAACAGCTGTCTCAGTTTGCTCATCATCATTATCACAAGTTCTTAAGGTGGTTCCTCCCTTTTAAGCTGTTAGTAGTGGAGAGTGTTAAGTCCTGAAGGAAGAAAAGATGTTGTAGAGATGAAAAGATTGCTTTGCCAGTCCTAACTGGACTACATTTGGGTGTATTTCAGAGGTAATCTGGATAAAGCCATTGAAATGTTCAACAAAGCTATCAACCTGGCCAAATCTGAGATGGAGATGGCCCACCTCTACTCGCTCTGTGATGCTGCCTATGCCCAGACAGAAGTTGCAAAGAAGTATGGATTGAAACCACCGACACTGTAAGGAAATGAGGAAATGATCTTCTAAAGTGAAGTTGCCCACTTCAGCCAGCCCTAAAGACGCTGTTGCAGACCATGTTGAATGGTGGAACTTAGTCTTTTCCCGTTCGTGGTGTTGTCATTTGCTACATCTGTTCAATGTTTAGGTGTTGTGGGAGTGGTTGTTCAAGAAAGTATGCAGTGTTGCATCTTGTTCCTTCTGCAGCAAAAACCTTAAAGTAACCTTAAAGTGTGTTAAGGGAATTAAGGTTGCAGAGGAACAAAAGGAAGATATTTTGGCCATGCAAATAAAAACTTCACACTGGTTCATTTTGGGTGATTATGTTGTGGGCGATTTTTGCTTTATCAAACAATACTACAGCATGTGGGGTTTTGTTCCTGTTGATTTTAAAGGTAATACTAGTCAGTGCTGTAAAATAGGTTTCTTTTTTTATATGCAGTTAATCCTCAAGAGTTGATTTTAATTTTGCAAAAAGGAAAAAAATAATTTTCAAACAGTTTAATAAATAGAGGGTTTTTTTTCTAAGGCAGTAGGTGTGGAGAGAATCCCTGTCAATATAAGCAAGCATGCACAATCTTCCCTTAAAGCCCTTCCCACCCTCTGCATAACTTAGAGATAGTCCTGTGGCAGCTATTAGGGAATTAATTTGATAGCCCTTCTCCTCCCCCCAGAAAGCTGTAGCGTGTAGGAGAGCTAGTTAAAAGGTTGGCTGGGGAGAGAGGTCAGGTAACACTGCTTCAGTGTAGGTTGTACTGGGAGAAAGGCCATGTTCCTGGGCAGCAGTACTCACTGGAATGTCACAGGGAGTTGCTCTGGAGGGTTCAGAGGGACTGTCAGAAACAAAGTGCTGCTGGGAGTAGAGCTGCCAAGGTAAGGTCATGCTTGCACATGTGTGATCTCTGATGCTCTTACTTAAATGTAACAGCTGATAGACCATCTAAATTCTCTTCAGTTTCTGAGGCTGCTGTGTTCTGATCTGCTCCTTGCAGTAGCTGCTTCACAGGATTGAGATAAGGAACAAAGCAACTTCAAATAATGGATTTAGAATCTGTACTGGTTTCCTTGGTCTTGAGGCCCTGTCTTGTCCAGGATTACAAATCCTGTAGAAAGGAAGCACCTGTTCTGCATGTAGCAGATTGGCGAATGAATAAATAAGAGTATAAACCATGTTCCTTTAGCTGGGAATGTCACAGAAGGCTCTCTTGCTTTGGGTGGAGCTCTTGGGTGTGGAAGTCAGTCAGTCAGTTCATCTTGCCTCTCCCTGGGTTGATGTGGCTGGATGAACCTCATAAAGCTACTTAACTGCTGTAGCTTTATGATACACTGATTTGGTCGTCTTTCCATTCATTAAATCATGGACATGCTTGTGCTGAATTGTCTAATGTGTCTCATCTTTTAAAGAAATGAACCATGCTGTGGTCAAACTGTCTTGTTCTCTAGTTCTGCCACCACAGAGCAGCAGCTTGTATTTTCAACTTGACCTTCCTTTCTTCCAGTCAAGAATTGAAACAGTGGAGATTTGACATAAAGATGTAACTGTTGTGTTTTAGCTAGCTCAGTAGGTGATCTGAAATCATAGCACTGGGGTAGAACTGAAGGCGCTGGAAAGTACTGACAGTTTCTAAGGGCACTGCACATCACAAATGTGAAATGTCTTCTGGAACTTCCAATCTCAGCATCAACTACCTGAGAACAGAAGTAGGCCAGGCTCACTGGTGTGTCCTGTTCTGAGGAGTTTTTATTCGCATGGCCTTATTTACATTGGCATTGCCTCCTCTTCACCCTACCTGTACCCCATTCCTTACCCCACCCCATCAATTAAGGGAAAAAAGCATGTGCTGTCCAATACTAGCATTCCAAATCATCACAGACTTTTGCCTGTTCTTAAACTAGTTTGAAACTGCACTGAAAGGATGCATTGTCTGTAATTTTTTTTGTAAATGACGTATCACCTGTAAACTGAGAAAATAAATATTACCTTCAAGTATCTCTCTCTGACATGTATAAGAGAAGGTTTTGAGACAGGTACTCTCTGCAGTGGTGCTCCCTCTGCTTATTTGAGGTTACTCTGAATCTAGGAAGAACCAGTAATGACTAACTCCAGTTGTATTTCCAGTTACTCCTGTCACCCACAGAGGTGTTGTCTTGAGAGCTGAAGACTATAGAGGAAGGAAAATCCAGCCTGGAAACCTGGGAATCTGAGTGGCTTGACACTGTTAATGTGTGTATGCAGGTGGATCTCTTCAGTAAAGGTTTGGGGTTTTTTGTTTAAAATGGCTGATATAGCTGAGGTTTTGCTTTAAGCCAGGTGTGCATGTGAACGTTGAGAAAAGCTTGCTTTAGTGGGGATCAAGAGCTAAAGTGAAACAAGTATTACTGCTATTAAAAAAAACCCCAGATCTGTTGGAATAATGTAGGAAGCTGGTACTCAGGACTTGGATAAACCTGGTGTATCCTAGAGACTGGGGGAAGTTGCTTCTACAGAGTTGATGGGATCCTGTACAATCCTTGTTGATCATGTTAGAGACAAGTCTACCAACATGGAGATGAGAAGCTGTGACTAGAATTACTAGGATCTCACTGCAGATGGGAAGGGAAGAAGGAAGAAACATAGATGAAGCTGTACTGTAACTTAGTCTGGAACTATTAAGAACAGCTTTTGATACAGCTTTAACCAGGCTTCCAGCTGCAGTGGTAATAAGATTGCCCCATACAACAGGCATTACTGTGTTTTCTGCCATTTAAAAAGAATTTAAATCTTGCTGGCTGAAGTGTCAGGGTTATTACTGGCTGGTTTCCTGTATTTGCAGAATACTGGTGCATAGGTATGATATGGATACTTAAGTGCCTGTTTTCTACCAACACAGAGATGGAGTATTGACTGCTTTAAGGTATTATCTAGCTGAGAACTGACACTGTACTAATTTCATTGAAACCCCCCAAAATAAAGTCCCCTTTGTATTGCTTCTGAATGGAGTGCACTGGAGCCCCCTAAATCATACTGCCAAAACAAGGTGCTTGGAAGTTGTCCTGATAGACTGAAGGGGGCAGAGCTTGTGTGACCTCTTCAGCTGATTTCCATCTGTTCTCCCTATCAGGGATTCCATGGATTCTGCAGACTGTTGGAAATGGCACTTTGCATTTTTAAGTGGCCAGCCCCTGGGAATCCTGCACTGCTTTAATCTTCACAATGTTGTGTTCAGTTCCTGCTCTGCTGCACATTAAACTACTATAGAGAGGGGAGGAAAGGCAGATGCAGTAGCTTAGAAAATGGATGTGTAATAGTTGCTACAATTTAGAAGATGGAGCCAGGTGATGGCCATCATGGATGCTGGGTCTGGGGGAGGCACCAATCTAATGCAGGAGACTTGACTCAAATGGTAAATTGTTAATTTTTTAATATTTATTTTTCAACAAATAAATCTTCATTTCACCTTGTGCTCTGTGGCTTGTTTCTTCGGAGATCCAGTACAGTATGAACACTGAAATGCAGTGAGAAGTACAGACCAAAAAATACCTGCTGGAATAGATTATGCCACTGTGTGGAAGGGTGTGACTCATCTTTTGAGGGGAAAGATGCCTCAGGGTTTGGCTTAATTTAACCATATAAATTTTTTAAACACACACCCCCCCTAGCTCATTTCAGAGAAGCCAAAAGAACATTAAAAAAAAATGTTGAGAGCAGCTGTCATGCATGTAAACATGAAGCAATTCCAGTACCTGTCATCTTCTGGAAGACTGGTGTGCAAGTTTAAGCCTTGCCAGAACCAGAGAGCACATTGCTGTTGCCCCACCCACACCGGTCGGGCTGGAAGTTAGACACAGACCCCTTTGACTGATGATTCTCAGCCTTTTCAGGTGGAGAGAGCCAGGCAGCAGAATTAAAGCCCATTCAGACATTGTATTAAGTAAGCAGTATCCAGAGCAAAGGTAGGGTGGTATGTGAACCGCTTTAACAAAACAGTAGCCTGCATCACCAGCAATAAGCAGGAATTGTGTTAAGGAGAGTTTTAATACATATATTCCAGGTAAGACCCATGAACCAAAACATGCTGCAGATTCTGCAGTAGTGGTTCTGCCTGGCAGCTTTTTGCTCGTCCCAAAGTAGCACTGAGCAGAATTTGCCTGTTTTGCTTAGTGTGTTAGATATTCTTTCCAAATTAGAAGTTAGGCATTCAAGGAACTCTGTTAAGGCACATATAACTAAAGGACAGTGGTGGAACAACCATGCTTCTAGAATTATCTGATAATTTGCTGAAAAATTCATAATACCAAACCTGACTTCAGAAGATTTACCATAACATTAACAACGTTATGTTCTACAAAAAGCCCCCAAAAGTAACTAAAACATTGTGATATGTAAAAAGCACTGGTAACCACTACTGTGTTGAACTGATTTCACCTCCCTCTTTATCCCAGCTGTAAAATCTTATGAAATACCACAGTATGTGAGAAGCTAGAAAAGTATTTGAATCAGTTTTAGAATTACTACACCAAATCTGTGGGGTTTTTTTTAATTAACTGGCACCTTTAGCAGCAACTAATAAGGGAATCCTTCTGAAGATAAGAGCAGCAGCCTCTTCACCCACTTCACTTTTTCATCTCTATGCCATAGAGATCACAACGCTTCTGGCTTAAAATAGGAATTTGACGACGTATTTCTGCAAGCTTCTGCAGATCTGCAGGGGGGAAAGAGTGAGCTATTAGAACAGCAGTCAGCAAGGAAAGCTCCTGGCTTGCTCTGAGATGAGGCAGGGAAAAGAGCAGCTTTCAGGGAGAAGGGGTCTGTGACGCTCTGCACCTGGGCAACAGCAGCTTCCTTGTAAGGAAGGAAATGGGAAGAGTGGAGTCAAGTGCTGCTTGTTCTCACTTTAGTCTAGCAAAGGTGGGGAAGGGATGGGAACACCGCATCATCTGAAATTGCATGTGCAAGCCCACAGACTTAAAGGCTATCTCTCCTTAGTCTTGTGACCTGTACTCAAGAAAGCACTTTGCCCTTACCTATGTCTGTGTATATAACTGTTTCCTCTGCCCCAGCTTTGGCTATGACTTCACCCCTGCAAGAGTAAGCACACATGTTCACAGCATTAACACCAAGGTCTGAAGGCATCAGTCCAGTTGCTGCTGTTTGTACAAAACAGAGCTCCTACCCTTGATGTCTACAGCTGTAAAGACAGGGCTATCCTAAAAATAGCATCATAATTCATAATTCTGGCATGACCAAAATGACTTCCAGGCTTTATATGTGGCACATTTTATGTACAACATATACTTCACATAAGTATGCTTCTGAAGATCAGGAATCATGGTAAGAGCAACTCTGAGAAGCAGTGCATGTAAGCATGTGCTGCTACACCTCAAGGGAAAGACAACTTCACCAGGGACAACCGTATATGGCAAAGACTGACAGTTTCTCCTTTTAGATCCTACTGGCTTTTAAAGAGTGTACTTCTCTGCATGAGCTACTGAACATTACTTGTCACGTCTCCCACAAGCTGTTCTGTCACTGCTTTCATCGTATAAAGTTAAAAGCTCAGGACATAGCTACAACTTTTCTTACTTTGCAATCATCTGGAAGAGAACTGTCAGTGGATTTATTTGAAAAAACACAAACAAATCTGCCTGAAGATTTGGTCACTTTTGCCTCATGTGCACCTGCCTGGCTTCTGCTTAAGTCAGAACATGTCTCTTACCTAGCTGAAGACATTCTTATGTCAAAGCAGTATTGTTCTTTGAGGAAATTAAGTATTTTGTGTAAGCTGTTTAAGATGGTTCAGTTCTGCACAGAGAATTACCAAAATGCAGAGTATATAATGGACTGAACTTTAGGAACAAGTTGAAAAGGTCAGTGGCTTGACTAATGCTAAATACTAGTACTAAGGAGCTTTTTTGTTACCAAAAAACATATGTACTGTTAAACTAGTTTTAGTTTCTTAAGAGTTTTTCAGCCAGTTTTAAAGGATGGTTTAGAATGTAGGCTTAAGTATCAGATGCTTTTTACCCAGAACTTATGACATTTTTGAGAGTAGATGGAAATCTGGGATTGAAATGTGACTATCATGTAAAACATTTTTTAACCAAAAAAAAGTAGGTCTGGTTTTTCTGAACTTACCATGGATTTACTACAGTGCTGTGTCCCCAGGCAACATAGGATGCTTTTTCATCTCTAGCAGGAGATATGGTCGCTACGTAGACTTGATTATCAAGAGCTCTGTGTTCACAGAAAGATGAGGGGATGGGGGGAAAAGTGAGTAGAATTTATTTTTTTATGTCACCAATTAACTAAGCAGAAGAGAAAGAATTTGCTCTGAAGAGCAAGCTGTATGTCCTCTTAAGGACTAGCCAAAACTATAAATGATATGAAGGCCAAAATAGAGTCTGGAAAGAGAAGCCTCTAGCACCCGCTCCAGAGTTAGTGGGTAGAATGAATTACATGTTCATTCAGTATGTAGCAACGTTGATTGAAGCTTAGCAAATTAATAAATAATGCAGCCCTCAGGAATCTCAGGGTCTATTTCTATCTGTAATTAGAGCAGTTCTCAAATGGTTATTGGCTCTTCTAGAAGTCTGTGTGTGAAGGGTACTTAAAGAGCCATGGGAAAAAGCTCCTTGAAAGGGCATAACTGTGGAGAGGCTGGCAGGAGTGAAGGATGAGCACTTCCTGCTTTCCTCCTTAACAGAAAAAATCATTTTGGTGTCCCATGCAAGGCCTGAGGAACAGTGCAGCTCCAACTCCAATAGCAGAGTGGCCCCACAGCACCACTTGTGCTGCAGGGCGTCATTTGAAACAGAACAACAGTTTCATGTGCTAAAACCCCTCTGGAACGGGAGTACAAGCTGTTACTTTGTTCTTACCGTCCCCTCTGCAGCAGTTCCCAATGAGCTGGTCCTGTTGTCAGGTTAAAAGCCCCTGGATAGATCAGCAGATGGCAGCCTTTGTAAAAGGGAAAAAACCCAACCATCATTAAGGGGAACATAGTTTACCCTTGAGTGGCCCTTCAGACCGAGGCTCAAGGCAAGGTTTCTCTCAGTCCCTCCTGCTCTCTGCCCAAAGTGAAGCCAAAGAGATCCTGTACCCCCATAACAACTTCGAGTGCTTCTGTCAGCAGAGCCCTGTGACACACTGCCAAGGGGGGGGGAAATGTACCCATCTCCATCAGCAAACCTGTAGCAGGAAAATAACTCTTACTTTACACAAGAACAGATGCTTATTTGAATAACAGAAGTCTATATTTTGTGTTAGTGGGAGAAGATGACACAGACTGCCCAGTATGTACCCCCGACCTGGTCCTGCCTAGTTCCAGCCTTAGGGGTAACCATGCTCCCTTTGGTGACCCAGCCTCACCTTTCTGGCCGTAGACTTGAGCCATCTCCGCAAATCTGAGATCGTAGCAGATGCCCAGGCCCACTTTACAGTATGCTGTTCTCAAAACACAAGAGACAACAGTCATATCGCTGTCACAATTACACAAAAGCAATCAGAAGACTCCTGGTAGCCATCCTGCCAACTGTCATATGTCCCACAGTAACAGGGGAAGCTGTATTTAAATGTATATCCTTATCTGTAACAAGCACTGCCTATCTGCGGGGAGGAATTCATGCTTCATGATGAGGAGGACTGTGAGAAGCAGTCTTACCTACCCTTTAAAAACAGCCATTTCCACAAAATCATGGTATGCCAGGCCTTTGTGTAATGTATTCCTCTCTGATTTAGTTTTTCAATTGTTTTCTTTAAGAAAAGAAAGCAGTCACTGCTCTTCAAGGGCTCAAGAAATTATAGTCATGTGCTTTCTTACACTATGCACACTGTAAGGAGGAAAAAGTGACCATGGGAGATGAGACTCTTCAGGGAGCTCAGTAAACAGGACATGTTAACTTCTGAATACTGGGGCAGGGAGGGAAATAGGTGTCTTGCTTTTTTTATCTGATACAGTTGATTCAAGAATGTTGGAATGGGATTAACAGTTAATTGTCTCCATTATTACATCATCCTTACATGAAACAATGTGCCAGTGTAGCTGTTTGCTACACATACTCTTTTCCAAGCCATATTTTATATGAACCATTTTAAAGATGTAACTACTATAAAAAAGGAGTAATTTCTCTTTGCCAAATCTATACCACTATTTATTAAGGGAAGTGCCATGATGTATGCTTCAACCCTTTCTACTCCTCTGTCCTTTTTTGCAACCACATTGCCTTTTTACAAGTTTCAGAAGTGACCCACGCATTTGGAACAAACAAACTGTATTTGCCATGGTTGTCAAATGCCTAATATAAATCTGATCGACAGTCTAAAAATCTATTGCTGGGAAGAAGGAGGGGTAAGAGAACTCCAGAATGACTAGTGATACTGTGGAAGAGCTTCTTAGAGAGACGGCTTCTCTTATACTCACGAGTATCAAACATGGAGAAACTATTCCCTGGACTCAGTGTTTCAGACTCTTTGAACTGTATCTTCCCAGGAATATTAATGTCAAACAAATGAACCTGTAATTACAGTATGATTAATAACAATTAATACACTTTCTCTGCTTGGTATTTGTGCCTCTATTAGCCACGTGTTTCTAGCTACCGTTATCTAGACTACACTTTTGTCAGGATCCCAACTAAACATTGCTTAAGATTGTGAGATCTGCTAGGGATGATTTAAAGCAGTTTTCTTCTTTACAGAAATATACATATCTAAAGTTATTTAGAAAAAATAAAAAAGACCAGCCATTTTAAACAACACCTATAATCCCTGTGACCCAAATATCACTTACCAAATAGAATGCCCTATCCTTCTACCATGCATTAATACAGGGTACTTAAAATAGCTAAAAGTATAACAATTAATTTTTAGCATAGCTCTGTATCTTCTTCATGGAAAGAATCCCTGCAAAATAGCTAGATATCTTGATCTAATGAGTAATTATGCAAAATAAAGGATACTTATAAAACATCTTGACTTTGTCAGGATGATTTTAAAGTCTGTTAAAGCAGGTGATGTTTTCCTCTCTAAGATCGGAGTCCCACTCTTGCAAAGCTTCTCCAGAAAACATCTTCAGCAAGTCATAAAGTTCCCATGACTTCAGCTATGCAGATGTCTCTTAGCCCCTGCAGACAGTCTTTATCCCTCCTTTGCTGTGGAAGATTCTGTTCCTGACATTTCCTAAAAATACAGCTGGTTTTCTATTATTATTTGTTCATATTTACACAGTACAAGCCTGCACTCATTCTACAACTATGGGCTTGCAGGCTAGTGTGTTATGATGGAAGGAAAGCAACACGGTACTTCAGAAAGTGATCTAATAGTGTAGCTAGGTGTGGAAGTAGTTAACAGAATAAATTAATACCTGCACCCCAGAGGTATTTTGCACTACCTCATTTGTTCCAAGTAACCCTCTGTTCTCTTTTTTTTTTTTTTGGTTCTTCCTTGAGAAAAATAAGCTGTTGCTCACCAAAGGAATGATACCTGTATGCATGGTCAGATTAACAGAAACTACACTCAGGTACAAAGCAATGTCTAGGAGGAAGATGCATCCAGGTGGAAGCAAGCATCTACCCTGAGCAGCAGACACCTGGACTATGGCACCTGGACTGCAGCTCTCTGCACTGATCGTACATACAGCACACACAGTATGTGAAGAACAGCGTATGTAACAGGAGGACTACATCCATGGGGAACCTGAGGGAAAATCCTGATTCCATTGAAGTGGCACTGTATTTTAGACCTAAACCAAGGTACACAGAGGAGTTGGATCAGGATTTACTCTTTACCACAGTTCTCCCAGCATCTGAGAAAAGCCAGTTATGCCTTCTGCATTTTACCATCCTTACTCAGGACAAATTTATGACCACCTTTGGAAGGTCCCAAATAAAAATTACATGCAGTTTTACTGACAGTTCACAGCTTATTATTAATGTAAGATTCCACTAATTCACACCACATTTAGGCACAGATGAAATAATTTGTGCAACACTGCTAAGAAACCTTTTAATAAGAATATTCTGCCATCTCACCTTCCTATGCTTTGCCAATATAGCACCATCAGGCCCAAAAACAGCACATGTATTGTACAGCTTTCCATCATCCTCTTCTGGAATGGATCCTGTGTAAAGGTGAGAACAAAGATTTCTCCCACTGTATGATATAGACTTTTGATTCAATGGCAGTAATAGACATTGCCCACTCTTCCCTCTGTGACACGGTCACAAAGTCTAAACTACCTCCAATGAGATATATGCTGCACTCCTTTGCAACTTCTGACAGCTTTTGTGTCGATTCCCCAGGGATCTTCTCTGCATACTCCTTAAAGTATTGCGTTCCATATGGAGAATTAAAGCACTCCTAGAATTAGGGGGAAAAAGAAGTTAAAATCCAGTTACACCACTGCAAGGAGATAGATTTGACTTTTCAAACTCCTATCTATCAGTGTTCTCATACAGTCTTTAGTTACGGGAGTTTCGTTTACAGGAGCTCAATGAGCAAATCAGAGAATATCAGGAGGCCAGAAAGCCCCTAACAATTAGAAAAGATGCAGGGGGTGTGTTGGTGTGAACATGTGCCAAACAGAACACGAGCTAGGTGCACCATGCAATCAGCAAGTAACAAGGCTGGTGTATTTGTCAGTCTAGACTTAACAAGATCACAAGATGTATTCTCATCAGAACGATGAACCAAGTTCCACCTAGCTCATTTGCCAAGTTACAAGCTAAATAGATTCTCTCAAAACTGCGAGATGCTTGGGCTCATCCACAGCACATAATTTCTTTCATTTTTAAAAGGACCTTGGCAAAAGCCTGCATTTTTCAGTTACTTATTCTTTTGCTAAAACAATCCTTTAAACACCATTTCCTCACAACTGAGCAGTGTCTTGTGTCCTATGCTCTAGTTAAAGATTTGCTGTTCCTCAGAATCAGACATGTAATCTTTAGATTAACAGGCAGTTTAGATGCCTAAAGTAGGTGGCTAGTGGTATTTGAGATAACTAAAATATCCAGAGCTTTTACTCTGCCTATTTTCCAGCTCTGTGAGAATTGTCTTCCCTGCTCCCAATACTTTTTTTGTACCAGCACCTACTCTTTCACAAGAGATTCCCAGCCCAAGCATCTCCCTCAGTTGTTGCCTTTGCTCAATGGAATTTGTACCAGGAATAAAAAAAAAACAACAACAAACCCCAAAACCAAAATCAAGCTGTGAATAGCACAGTAAACATATGCATTAGCCATTCGAGCAAGCTTCTTCACAACTGTAGTAGATTCTACTGAACCAAACTGGGATGGATGTTTTTGCCCCATATACAGACACTGGACCAGCAGGCACCAACTAACCCTCAGCAGAATGTGTAGAGGGAAGAGGCAGGAAGGGAAGTCTCTGTAGACTTTCAAACAAGCTTCCCACAGGCTTCTGAAAGCTGGAATGCACTTCAAGGAAATAAAAGCAATGCCAGCTGCCTCCACCTTCATCTTGGCACTTGCAGTGTCAGGGCAGGTGGTACTGAAACCAGCAGAGCTCTGTCTGGGCAAGCTTGTGGTAACAGCATACCGCTGCCCCTTAGTTCACGCTTGGACAAAACTGCAGGTTTGGGAGATTCTGAGCTCTCCAAAGTGGTAAGAATACGTGGAGAGATCTTTGAACTGCTTTATATCCGTTTCTAGATTCAAATGGTTTTATTTCTTTATCCATAAACATTACAAAGTGTTGTTCTCTCACAATTTTTTCCTGGTTCAGAAATGAAAAGAAGCTTAACACGTGAAGGCTGAGATGCCTCTACAAAGGTGTAGATTACATACTCTGTGCAAGTTAATTCTGTTCTTTACACAGCGTGATTTAAAAAAAAAAGTGGAGGGAAGAGAGTATTTCATGCCCATGTCCTAATGCCAGTACAAAATTTATCTCCCAAAAGTCTGAAAAACCTTGCCCTTGTTTGATGAGCTTTACTTTAAAAGCATAAATTATGATTGGTAAAGTAAATATCTCAATGTAATAAACTATTGTAACTAATTTGCTAAGTTAAGCAAGGCGGGTATGATAGGTTTGAATGATCTGTAAATGTTAAACCACACTATCCTGCTGTCTAAAGTATTGTAAAAATAGAATATGGTACCCTGTGTGGGTTTTGAAATGATTTGCAGTTACTATAACCTATATTACAATGAATGTTTGAATATATATGGATAAAATATAAAGTATGCCATTCGGTTGGAAAAATGTAACTACTTCTCGGAAACCCTCATCAACTAGAGCTGATAGGTAAACCGCTTCTTGGAAACCCCATCACCTAGAGCTAATATGTAACCTCTTCTCAGACCCCCCGCCCCCCCCTAGAAATAACCTGTAACTGCTACTTGAAGAAAAGCCTGACAAAAAAATTGAATCATGAGGCTTTTAAAAGATCCAACAGGAGAAAAGCGCACCAAGAGACCAAGGCTTCAAGACTTTCAAAAGACCCCACAGGAGGAGGACAAAGACCCAAGCATCTCAAAGGACCCAATGGAGAAAAAGCAGGACAATTATCTGACGGGAGGAGATTGGTTAAAGACAATGGCACAAGAGTATAAAAAATGCTGCTTTTTGGAACTCGGGGTGCGTGTGGCAGAGCTGCAGCTCTCCATGCACCCAGCGCTGCTTTGCCTATTGCTTCCCACCCTAAATTGATTGAACCCAAATAAAAATATATATTTTTATAAAAATTGGCTTTGTCTGATTATAACATCAACTAAATAGGTCTGGAAAACTCACTGTTTGTACACATGATTAAACTAGCAAATAATAGACAATCTCAATGTAGGAAGCCCAGGCAGAACAATCAAAGGTCACATCTGCACCAGAAGAGCTGTGTTAGCACAGAGGAGCTCAGAAGGTTGCTTAATACTTCGCCTGTGACAGCAGGAGGGACATTCAGATCAAAAGTTCACCCAGAGAAGAACTTTGCGCTCCTGAGTCAGATGCTGCAGGGCACAGGGGGAACACACGTATTCCCAGGAAAAGGGGAAAAATGCTCAAAGCTGCACTGGGAAGGTCACCATGTTGCCAGCACGGTCATCTGTGTGTGAAAATTCAGCAAGGTAATAACGACTGAAGTCCAAGAAGTAAATCAGAAATTATCAGTGATTTTAAGTGGCTATTTATGTGCCCACAGAAGGGAGCCACAAGAGAAACCCATTTTAATCATAATTCAGCCATAAATGACCTGCTGGAAATACCTGAAATCTATTTTGTTTCTCATGTACGATCTAATCTGAAATGATTATTGCAAAGAGAATCACTGCATACCTGTTTTCTTTCATCAACAGTCTTTAGTTGAAAAATCACCTTTTCCTACATTTCTAGCATAGCTTCTGCAAAGATTCAAACCACAGCATTGCTTTTGTGAATTCAGAATATACCAGTGATGGAATTGCCTAGGATTTAAACCAGCACAAACTTAAACAGAATCTTATACCACAGAAGAGACAACCTGCTTTTTCTTTTTTTTTTTTTTCTTCTTGTTTTCACCCCCCTTTACTATGCTGCTAGACCTGTCTCTT